GCGATACCTTGCACAGAGCTACTCTACATCTCGGGAGTTGGGGTAGAGTGGAGACGAGGTCTGTGCTTCCTGCTGCGTATACGTGGCAGGATGACATGCTTTGGCCTATTGGATCTCTGGTCAGACATGGAAGGGAAATGTATAGAGCTCAAGGGGAATCGAACGCCGCCGAACCGGGGAATGCTATGTATTCCAGGTTTTATGTAAGTGCAGTTTATTGCCTTTACTATGATGAATAACATCTTCATTATCGATTTCTTTAGGCTATCTTCAAGAATCCTTCGGTGGCGTTAGGTGGAATATTGTTGTTGCACGGAATCTTAGTTCTATTTCAATTGGCTTTGCTGTTGATCAGGTGTATATTCTGGTATCACATAATGTCAATCACACTGTTGATATTCTATAATTACAACACCTTGTACAAAATCTGCAGAGATTACTTGGTTAGCTTAAAGATCTATAGAGTGGAGCAGGATTTACGTGACAAAATGCCGCATCACTGAACCAACGAAACTGAACGTTGTTTGTTGACTCGCAGTCGAACTGAACAAAAATTGTACAAGGAGAAGAGACAATGATTATACTACTACTCAATAAAGTATGTGCTATGAGATTTATGTTTTATTGAGAGTTGGAAATTTTGATGTGATTTTGAGCCGTATGTGTATTTTTGTTTTGTTAAAGTCGCTGTTTAAGAAATACAGATACTATTAACGATTTTATGGGAATATATTTTATTTTTTTTTGTCTTGATTTCATACACCATCTCGTTTTTTTTTAGAACAACAATTATTTACAATACATACACAAAAAATATATATATATAGATAGATTTATCCAATTTCTGTAATAATTTATTCAGTAGTAAGCGTCCACGATTTATCCTCCATACTAACAACAATAGCCTGCTCGATCTTCTCCTGTAGCCAATCCATTACCTCCTTGTCACCGTTGACAATCAATTTACCGTCAGGATTCAGAAGATCGTTCTCTCCCTATAAATAAAATAGAGCGTAAATACTATTGGATTGGTTGATAGTGTATCAATTACCTGTCTTATATTTAACACTAACTGTGCGGTCGTAACTTTAGCTACTGAAATGATCTCGTCCAAATCTAAAGACCATTCCAACTCCCAAGGACCCCACAAACGACATTTATTTGCTCTTAACACATGCCTGAAAATCAAGAGAATCAAATGAATCTAATTCTCGGTTTTTGGAATTTGCTTCAAAACTTACTCTAAACTAACAATTATTATGGATTTCCCTGCTTTATCGATGGCCGCGTGAGTCCAATAGGTATCGTTGTAAAACCTACCATTGGCTACAATCTCTAACAAATAGCAGCCCATCGATTCGTAAATGGAAAACGGTCTTAAACCCTGCAAACACAATTTATTAGTTTTGCTTCAATAGAACTGGTAATAGTCAGTTACCAAATGGAAATTGGTGTATCTGGTGAGTCTCTGATGAATCTTTATTGGTTCGCCCAAGAGAGAGGCGCGCTTCAAAGCTTCCATTGCCACATGAACACTGTTCGACTTTTCATCAGGATGACGGGTCACCAAAGAGATCAGGGCTTTTCCGGTTCCACGGAAGAATAGTTCACCGTCTGTTTGAATCCCAGCTGAAAACATTTTTTTCTTTAAATTATTCAGTTCAATTTATTTGTTGATGTTGTTTACCGGTTTGGCTTTTGGCAATTATTTGGTCCAAAGCTAACATCACTCCAGGGTTGAAGTTCCTGGACGAAGATGTTATGCTCTTCGGTAACATGCATGCGTTATGGTACAAACCATGCCTTCTGATTCTCTGGATGTTTTCAATATTTTGGTTATTGAAAATTTCCATGATGCTTTGCTCTAACGCAACAGAAGACATGTTTAAATGTCCTAATAAACAACGACATCCGAATAGGATCACGCTCGACATCTTTTCAGCGTCGTTTGGTACCACCTGAAAGTCAAAGAAGTGTAATAGTTTGTTCAATTGTTAATTTTGTATTGATTACTTCGTTCATTGCGACGATTGGCTGTTGCATCGCGTGCGGATTAACCAAGACCTGAAGACCTAACACTTGGGCGTAATACTGTTGAAGGAAATGCGATTTGCAGTGTTCCCAAATCTCTAGAAGTCCCTTGACAAAATCCATTCGGTTCTCTGGTATTTCCATCGCGGCTATCTTGTGTTTAACTCCTTCGATTGGCATGTAAGGTGAGATGTTGTGGGGGAAGAAGTAACTCAAGATGTTGGTTATAGGATAGGAGATGTTGTTGAAATTAGTTGGTGGTTTGTTTAGTATGTTGAGTTGGATGTACGTTTGGGTCAGTGTTATTTTTTCAATTATGGTTCTTCTCTCCTGCATGATTCTGGTAGCGATCGGAGCGAGTGGACCGTGCACCTTGTTCATGTCTTTTCTGTAAAGAACTGTTGTCTCGACGGAGCTCTTTCTGCTGTCGAGGAATTGCTGTGCAATATTAGCCACCAAGTCGCTCTGTATATTCAGGTAGAAATCTCTAACATCTATGTTTAAATTCCTGTATATATCACAGTTAGCTGCAATCGTTTTAGTACATGCGAATTGGATGAATGAAGGTGCGGTCCTGAGATGCTCAACAGGCAAAGGACATAATACCACGGACTCGTTGGAATTCACCAGTTTGTTGTCGATCTGAATCGAGTTGATCTTAAAGTTGATATGCCTGTGGTTCACCGACTTTCTAAGTTGCACGTAAATGGCGGGGCTGTACGTTCTGCGCAGCTCTGCAAAGAACGGTTTCAGCATGAACATCTTCTCGAAGTCTATATGCACGTAGTCCTTTAATTGACATTTCTTGTAGTGGAGTCTATACTTATCCTCGATCCACGAAGCCAGCTCTAATGTCAGCATCTTCCACTTGTGACCTACGTTCACTTCCCAATTGGCCGGAGCGTCGGAAAGCGACAAGTACAAATGTTCTTTCTTCATTGAAGAAGAAGTGAAGCATGATAATCCCATACCGGCTAACGAAACCAGGCATTCAATATCACCGGTTTCGTTGAAGATGGTTTGGACGATGTTGTTGTACACCCTGTGATCTTGGGTTAAAAGCAACGTTCTTTGCTCATCGTCCCGGTAGGAGACCCAATAAATAACAATCTTATCTCTACGCACTTTCTTGTTCAGCGTTGTCTTCACACTATCAGAACTATCGGAGTCTTCGCTACTAGAAATCGTCGCTACGCTAGTGTTGTTACCAGGGGCTACACTATGGAAACTAATCCTCTCCTCCCCATAACTACAAAACAACATCAATTACTATATTTACCAAATAAACAAACTTCAATATATACCAATCCTTCAGTATGTCTACATAAAATCCTGGACTCTTATTATTATAAACATTCCACATCAAATCTCTAGGTTTAGTAGGTTCATCCCACGTATAAGTTACGCTTTGATACGGGCTCAATAAAGTGACAGGACTTTGTCCTTTCTGCTGAATCCTTACGAAGAGGTCGGCGCAGAAATTCTTGGCCACAACTGGTGCATCGCCATCTCTATAATCCTCGAAGTTTATCTTGAACGGTTCAATCTTACCACCAAATACATTAACCGTTATTGCGCTCTACAACACCATAATGAAACAACTTAATTATTAATTAAACGAATACCAAATACCCCTTTATCAATCCTTAAAACAGTATTATGATGATTATTGATGAAAAATGCGGGTGAAGTGACTTTATTGTCTCGCAATTTGACAAACATTTGCATTGAGCTCGTTTCCGGCCAAAAGGGAACGCATCGTCCTTGACCCAAGTCAACCCATAGATCAGTTTTCTCATTGTGCTCCATAAACCTAAATAAAAACATATAAATGAAATAGATATTTTTGTTAAATTCATCAATAAAAACCTTAATTCTTTGTTGGTGTGGTTGGAAACCAAGAAGCTTGGTAAAAGCGTTACAATTTTGGTAAATCTTGGACACATCTCCGATAAACCAATGGATAGTAAGAAGGAGTACCTCTTCTTCCTTTCATTATCCTTGCAGACGACCAATCCAGTAGCTCCGGCACAATCCAAACCAAATTCATTTGACCAATCGGAATCGTAGACTTTCAATTGCAGCGATTGCTTTCCGTGTCTCTTATAAGTAAATAGGATAATGTCTTCCGTATTCGATCCGTAAGTTGTGTTCGTTGAGCTTGCCTAAACATCGATGATTTATTAAATGTTTATTGCTTTGATCAAACTATTATACCTTAATGTGCAAAGGCAGTGTTGTTTTATTGACGATCCAATACGGAGTGTAAATGTACACGTTGCAGCTATCATCTCGCTCCGCTTTAACGTTGACAGCAAGTTGCCTGGTCCAAGAACCTTCCAGCTTCGTATCAGAAGTTAAAACTATGACTTTCTCATCCAGATGAGGTGTCAGAGTTAACAAACCGGTCCACACCAAATTGTAATAGCCAACTTTGATTACTAGCTTTTGATCGCTTGAAAGGTTCAACGAGTAAATACTGGTTTTCTCTCCTGGTTCAACCTTCATCTGTTGCTTGAGGATTACATTTTCTACTGTTAAAGCGTATGGCAGGTAGTTGTGTAGTATCAATGGAGGAAGCAGATGAATCACGTAGTTTGGAATGGAGTGGCTGTGCGAATTTTTCGCCTCGATATTTTTCTTCAACATTACTCGCAAAGAAAATACCTCTAAATTGGAGCTGCTCTTCGGATTACAGTGGAAGTTATGAGCCGTGTCCAAATCCGTCACCAAATCTTTCCACCAGATTCCAGTATTTGAAGCATAATGACCCCTAAAATAATTGATGAATGTAAATGTACCTTTTGGAAATTATAATTTCTTACTCTGCATATGCCGGCTGAATGAAGAGTTTGCAGTGGTATGCAATGTATAGAGGAACGTTGTATTGTTCATGAGGTTCCAGAACTGCAATCCTCATCGTAGTTTCAAACGGATTGGTCATATCTCCAACAGGTTCCAAGTTGAGTTGTTGCAAAACTGAGGGTTGATATAGAATGCTCAAAGCGAAACAAGTCTCGTTACGTATCTAAAATGGAAACGTTGCATTAAGTGTGTTTCAATTTCGTGTTAATTACTTGTAAGGGTGAGCTGACAACAACATCTCTTCCGTGTTTGTTAATTGAACTCTTGGCAATCAAGTAATAAATCTGATTGGCCGTGGTGGAATGCAATCTAAGTAATTTCTCGTTGGCCTTCTTCGGACAACTCGTTTGGAACGGTTGGAATCCAGGAACGTGTATTTTCAATTGGTGAGTGTTGATCCTCTCATACAATAAGGGAGTCGTGAATCGAGGGAAATCTAAACTGTTTATGGTTTCCAAATCGTATCCACCCTCAAAATCGATTTTCGTATTATCTTCGGAGCAACTGAAAGTTAAATTCAAATTAAATCTACCTGCACATAATTTGAATTCAAATCTACCTGTCTCTATCGTCCAGATCATCATTGAAATCTCCAATGAGGTAGCATCCCCTCGAAGGGCTGTTCGGGCAAGAATCTTCCTTTTCGTAAGTTTTAGAAACCACCAAAACTGAATCCGCATCATTCTCGTTCCCTTTGTTCTCGAACAGTTCGACCTTGCTCTGAGGACCAATATCATTAATCAAATTTATGGCCTTCGAGCTGTTAGCAATTGAAAGGGTTTTATTCGAGTACATGTTGTACACATCGTTGAAGACTTTCAAGAAAGTCGGAGTTATTGTGAAATTCAGCGTGTCTTTAGAATCCAGGAGCACGTACGTTGCTTTCTTGTACGCAACTTCTTCTGGAATGGCTTCATTCGATTTAGATTTTTGATTATCATCAGAACCTTCATCGCTGTCGCTGGATTGTTCGCATTCGCTGCCTTCACTCTCATTCCAATCTCTGCAAAATAAAATAATATTAATATCTAATTACTTTGATGTTAGATGATTTACCCTGTGAACAGATCTGAAATAGCTGCAGCCAACTTCTCCATGCTTCCATCCTCGTTTTCTGAATCAGAATCATCTAAGAAAGTGGAAAGACTAGTCTTCACGCGTCTATTATTCCTGTTATGGAAAGCATTCGTTGGTTCCAAATAAATCATATCATCTCCGCTTTCATCTTCATCCTCAGTTGTGGATTGTGACGCTCCTTTCTTATCTTTCTCCTTCTTAACTTGTTTCTCGCAATTGAACATCGGCTGCGCTTTATCTTGGAACACCTTTATGAACAGTTCCCAAGGTTTGTAAACGTTATCATCCAAAACGACGGGATCCAAAATTGGTTCCCAGCTCTGAACGCTGTCGTTAAAATAGTTGGCTTGAAACGTTATTTCACAAGTGCTATTTAACAGAGACGTCCAATCATACACTGTCAATTCTATTGTCGTTTTGAAGACTATAACAGGTATTTCTTCGAGCTCAAATATAATGAACACATCGGTTTTAGGCATTATGAAAACTTCGTGTATCAAACCTTTCCCGGAATTTGCAAACTCCTCGTTTCTTCCGTTGAATTCTGTCAACTTCTTCGGATCCCACAGATTATCCATGTTTGCTTGTTTGATGATCTCCATCTTTCGCATTTCTTTTGGAGATACCACAGTTTCGGGGACTTTAAAATGCTCAACTATGTCATTGAGAATATCGTTGATGGAATAAACGACTCGACTGCAGAATTGCACGTAAATTGATGAGATATTAGCTGTGATTTTATCATTTTTATCGGAGAAGCATTTGGATAGCTCTACGTCGCATTGTTTAAGGATCGTGTAGGATTCCGAAGAGCTCAGACACATATCGTAGAATTGGGTGTGAAGACCGGATAAAGAGACGACGAAGTTTTGTTGGTTCGAGTGTTGTGAGTAATCGATCAAGATTTCCATTTTCGTGGTGAAGTAACGTTTTTTGTTTGATGCAGTTTCGACCAAGAAAATGAACTCGGGTCTGTTTATTCTTAAAGCGATGGTGATGCTGTGTGGTATGAATGGTATTATGGGTTCACTCTGCAAATCGCAGATGTAACCGTGATTGACTATTCCGTCTTCAACGTTATCTTTCGATGAGCATTCGATCACGAACAGAGCTAATTTCTCGCAGAAAGGAACGGAAAGGCATAAAGCCAAACGACCTATGATGATATCAATGGACTTATCTCCAGTCTTATTTTGATGGAAAGTGATGTCTATTATCGGTGGTGTATTCACAGTTATGTGGCAGTTATTGTTCTTGTGAACATCCATTGCAGCTTGCAGAATACCTCTATTGTGGGAATTTGCATCTGGACCAATTTCTTCGATCTCAATCGAATCTACATATAACTTTCCATCTAAACTGTAATCCGTGTAGATTATGAAAGAAGTTCCGATATCGATGACATCGAACCTGCATAAACCATGGTTCAAATCTCTTATGGGGGAACTCAACAATTCACCGGAGTCGAAAAACAAACCTAAATTAATACCATCAAATCTGAATTTAACAGATATATTTCTTTGCTTCGGTTCGCAGAAGAAAGCCTCAAGATTCCTGACGACTTCGTCGGATTCAGGTGCTTTTGTTGGGGAATTCACGGAGTCCGGAAACAGTTCGATCATGTTACCTTCACCTATATTATCCGTATAAATCGATAGAATTATCGACAGATCTTTTTGACCCAAAGTTATTAGAAACGCTTGCATTATACCATCGATTTCCCATGTTAGAGTTTTGTACGCTGATTTTGTCAACGGGATGAAACGTTTTACATCCATATTCATTTTAAACGGTTCAATTATAGTTTCCTAAAATATATGCATATAATTTTATGACTGAATAACTTTAAATTATGCGCTTGACTTACTTGCATCTCCATGCTTGAGTTTAAAAGCATCAAACCTCTTGAAACGGTAATATGTTCAATTTTAACCAATATATTTTCTATGATCTCATTATCGTATTCTTTAAAGAAGTTTTCCATACTTAAATCACCTAAAATAGAATTAATTTAATACGTTAATAAATATAATTACTTTAAATCTATTGACCTGTGTCAATAATAACAACGTTTGGTGAAGACGATTTTTGCGGTAAAAGCAAGATAGGGCCTTTAATATTGATGGATAAATTGATTTTCGTGCTTGTTTTCAAAGTTTCCGTAGCTTTCACAGTCATTTTGTTGAAGAAATCGTAAGCGTTCTGAAGATATTGAAGACCCTCCAAGTTAACGATGAATCTCTGATCAAAGAAATATGATAAGTTTTTGGAGTAAGTCCGATTTAGTAATATCTTACGTGTAATTGTACGATTAGTTTATATAGGAAGGTTACATGCAATTGTCCTAAATGGAATTTGAGGCTTCCATTGCTGTTGAGTTCTTCGCTGGTTGGTGAAATGTCGCTATGTCTGCACATAGTTGAAGCGTAACGAACGTATTTCACTTCGAAAACCCTATCTTCGTCCGTGTATAATACCTATAGCAGAAGTAATAATTGTTAAAATATGGTTTGGAATAATTGTATGTATTTAACCTTTGAGTATAAAGTTACATCGCTTAAATGTTCGACGATGATTTTGCTCAAGAATGAGCGGAACACGAAGCGCTCGTTGGCCCTGAACAGGAAGTCGATTTCGAAACCGGAAACGTAGATGTTGACTATGTCAAAGTCGGAGTCACAGATGCGGATGTTCAAGTCGCTGAGTCGAGCGGAATGCGAGAACTTTATCGAACCCGGAGGAACTGGAGTATCAAATTTCGTTTTCGTCGGAAATAGGGTTTTCGCTATGTTCGCCACGTTTTGAATTTTAGTCAGGATTGACTTAGATATATGCGATCTTATCCTAAAGAAAATTTTGTAGATTTCGAATTATATATTTCGGTGTAGAAACTTACTTTTGGTTGAGGTATTTGGTGTATTTGATGATGGTGTGGAAAGCCTCTTGATGGAACATGACGTGGAGGGTGCCAAAATCAGCGACTAAAGAGGTTTCGACACCGTGGAAGTGCGTCCAGAAGTCCGGACAATTAGCATCAACCTACATAAAAATACTTACTAGATGTTTTCTTAAATGCTTTTAGTATTTACCTTTCTGTAAAGTATAGTAACTACGTCCACTGTAGTAGGGAATGGGCTATGTATTAAATCCAAATACTGTCCACTCGGGGTAGTGTGTAACTTATCAGTTAGTATTAGGCTGCTCAAGGAAACCTGACAGGCTGGACCATAGGTCATCCAAGCTATATCCATTGCGAATAAACCAAGTCTCAGCATCATGTATTGCCGATCGTTGTTCTCACAGGACCGTGAATACACTAATTGGAACTAAAACCAATGTTATATTGATGATCCGAATATCACGATGATAGACAAACCTCATTGACAACGAATCTAAATATAATCAAGATTGTGTTGCTCGGTGAAATGTTGTCTTCCAATCCAGGAAGATCCACGCATCTAGCCCAGACCTCGTTCATGTTCTCCTTGTTGTATCTATCCGAGGACCTTCTGAAATATTTCAAAAGAGTTAAAACTAAATAATTACGCTTAAATTATTTGTTTTAAGTAAGTTCCACTTGGGAACTTACTTTTTGATGTCCTTCTTCAACATGCCATTGCGATCCTTGTGCCTCTTATTGATGTACGAGTCCAATATCATTATGCTGCTCTGAACGTGCATCAGATACGACCAACTCAATTTCCCGATTATCGCGTCCTTCTTCCACGGCTTTGGCCTTTCCAGCGGCTTCACCTCAATGCTCCTCGTGAAACTGTTTATGAACGTTAAAAATTGAATTATCTTCCTCTCTGATAAATTAACTTTGATGGTTTGTATGGTCGCCGTTAATTTGCACCTGAAACATTATTTTATAATTAACATTTGATTAGATTTGCATATTATGATTATTATCACTTGGGGAGTGTTTTCAATTTCTTGACGCATGTTGAATAGGAAGCCGAAAAATTTGTTTTCGGTACAATGTGTAGATCGGTGTCCCTCTCCCTCCTAGAATCCTTCCAAGTGTCCTTGCTTTCGCAGAACAGAATCTGTATGTCGGAGCAGTTCAAATGGAATCTGGAATACATCTGCTCTTCCAATTCCATTTGCGTCGCGTTCTGCGAGATCTTCGTCTCCTGGCAAATCTCCGTGGAGACTTTGACGCAGCCCAGATCGATGATCAGAACGTGCTCCCCACTAAAATAAACAGCTTTTGTGTGATGCAATCGATAACGGTTTACGAACGGGCAAGGATTTACTTTTGAAGCGATCCGTTTTCTGGTATAATGATGTACGGCAGCTTCAGGTCCAATCTAAAGTCCCATTTGGCGAGCAGCTTATCCCGCATCCAAGTCATCGTCTGCTTGGGATAAGCCTGCATCGCAACCATCATGTTGTCGAGGGAAAAGTGACGGTTCCCGAAGAAATTGATGATTTTCTCGTACGAATACTACAAAACGATGTCAAGTATAGAAATAAACTTAATGTTACGTGTCATCCGCTTACTTCATCGTACGCTACTTCAATGTGCTCTAAAATGCAATTAATCTTGTAGCTGTGCTCGCACTTCTTTGGCGTCTTCTCCACATCCAATTTGAGGAAGTAAGCCGGGCTGTGTCCGTTGTGGATCGTCGATACAATTGAGATCAAGTGCTCCTCGACGCTCGCTCCTTCAATTATTAAACCCTCGATCTTCAGGCTGGCTTTGTATGTGTTATCAAGGAAATTCGGCTGGTAAGAGGAGATTAGCTGAGTCATCGTTACGATGAGTATCTCGCGATTGTTGTCGAGCAGCGTTAATCCCGCGCAGCCGATGCGGAAATTGTAAGTGAAATCTGCAATTAATCGATTGATTTAGGTTGTTAATAAAATAAACTATTTTATACCAATTTGGCTTTGAGGTTCGTCGGGGAAGGATATCTTCTCGCACAGGTGCTGCCGTTCCGGGGAAGGTAGGATGTCCCAGAAGCTCTTCTCGGATAAACTAGAAGCTTGTGCCTGATGATATAACAATGTAATAATCAAGTGAATGTGAAACTGTATAGAATATTTACTGATAATCTGGCCTGCTGCCTGGCGATCACTATGTTAATGACGCTCAACCTGTCCTCGTGCATCTGCAAATCCAGCTTCAGCTCTGTGTCGTTCGGGTTCAGGAGGATCTTCTTGTAGAGTTCCACGTAATTGCGGTAATTTAAACGCACCGTCCGGATTTTGCTCCAGCTATAAGGAGAAACCCTTTGCTGAAGGGCCGCGGCGTAAGCGTACTTCCACCAGATCTTCCGGTTCTCAGATACTTTGACTGTAGGCCTCATATGCAAGAAGTTCCAAATGATGAACATCCTCCTCAAGGAATCCAGCAATTTGGTCATGTAATTGTACTGTTCCTTGGAGAACTGGAAGTAGAGATCGTGAATTATGACGTCGCTGAAGAGCTTGCTGATCTTTCCTTCGGACGTCCGGTTTATTGTCATTTTGATTTTGGACGTTGTCGGTTTCAGGACTATAAATAACCAATTATAAATCACACACAACATCGGCATGCTATCTCACTCACTGAATTCAAAAGGTTCTCCGTTCATTGAATATGTTTGAATACTCGAAGACATAGCGTTACGCCAAACGTAATATTGCGACGGAAAATCCCATTGAATCGGATCTTTTTCCTGGTTACAATACACAGCCAAACCGTCAACCTTCACCATATAATAAGATAATTCATCGCTCGCAGTTGTCTTCTTGTTTGCCTTCCATTTGCTTCCATAAATTCAACTTTGTTATTAAGCGAAATTCAACTAATTTATTATGGCTTACCTATTTGTTGTTTCTGCAACGATATTCCCGATGCAAAGACCGAGCACCCAAGTTTCTGGGCCGTTCACGACGTCCCTGTATCGGAGGTGGACATTCGTGATGGTCAGCTCAAGGTTGTTGATGATGTTCGTGATCAGATACTCGGAGAACATGTTGGGACCTCCGATGAGCTCGGATTCGGCCGTTAGATCTGCAAGAGCCTTTTTCTTGAAAGCCCTTTGGAGTCGTTTGTTCTTCTCCGCATCGTAGGGTTCGTTGTTGACGACAGGTCCAACAAGGATATGAACATCCTCTATTTTTACCACCACTGGTTTTGACCAGAGCTTTGCCCACGGTATTTCCAGCCATACTTTACCAATCGTTCCAGCAATTACTTGAATTGGCAAATTTAACTCATACTGGAAACAAATAAAAAAAAAGTATGAAAAACGGTGTTAATTAGAGAAAAAATTCAATTCTGGTTACATTATTTGGTTTCATTGCATCATTTTACTTTCATCGACAAGGTGCGAATATTTTTAACAAGTAAAAGTACTTGACTCGTAACTTGACAAGTAAATGTAATTGTATTTTGCTGTTCTATTGGTTTTGTTATTGAAAATTTGCATTTTAGTACTTATATAAAAAACAAATATAGAAATATTGTAAAAAAAATCTTTCATTAAATTGTAAGTAAAAATATATAAATATGTGTATTCACGTAATTCTTAATATTCATAAACAGTGGATTACAAAAATATCAAGAATGTTGAAAAGTTGATTAAAAACTAGAATATAATGGAAATATTTCATGCGAACTATTATGAAGACATTTTTGTATCGACCTGTTTACAAAAAATGAAATAACAAACGCTTACATAACAAGTATTCAATCAATAATAACGGCTGTATTGTGCCTTTAAATTGAAAAATCTGTCCTTGATCTGAATGGAATCGTCCATTAATATATAGATATTTACGTTTTTCATGTAGATTTATAAAAAAAATAATTGAATGGAATCGCCCAAATAAATTTGAATGTCTACTTTTTCTTATAATTACAAAATTAAAATAATTTAAAATGTTGATGTTTATTGTAATTCTTAAATTATCAATATCCATTATTTTTTTGTAAAAATAAATTTTTAGGGCATTTCCTTCATCTTGACGTCTTATGTGCCTATAAAGTATGTCCACGATCTTAATGGAATCGTCCATTAAAATATATATATTTCTACTTATTTTGTGTATGAATTTTTCAAGTTAAAACCTGTAAAATTGAATGAATTGTAAATGATTTGATGAATTGATAAATTCAATTATAGTTGTAAAATAAATCAATATTTTTTTTACGTAACGTTATTCTTTACGCAACTGACATTTCTTGCTTGTGGAAGGACGAATCGATGAAGAAAAAAAATGTAGAGGAATGTTACACCTCGGCGACGTCAATAGCTGTTGTCGTGCGAGAAGACGTATTATCCGGAGGATAAGTTTAATTCGCAGCGACAGATCAATAAATGCTTACGTGTTTGTCTGAGCGCTTAGAGCAGTGGGGCGCCTCCCGCAGGAATCATTTATTTAAACGAAATCAATAATCGCTTTCCTGAGTAGGCAGGAAAACGATAATAGGCATGGACCATATGGTCCGATCCTTAACAGATTTCAGAGGTGTAATCTAGAGATTATCGATTCGCAGGATGATTCATGTGTTATCCTGGATTTACTAATAGCAAATTTAATTCTCAGTTACGATAATTGAACATAATTTTAGGTTGAATCTTTGTTGTTCACTTACCAGAGCTTCAGATTTCAGCTTCAGATCGTTAAGATGCACTTGCCCGGAGAAGATGCCTACATTGAGGTTCTCCGTGTCCAGATCCACCACGTACTTCCCCAGCACCTGGTTCAGGACCCTGGCGACCGCTCCCTCCAACATCTTCGCCACCTTTCCTTCCTTCACAGCTCAGAACTCCATCCAATTACCCTTCTCTTCGACGCACCTTTTCAGTGTTTTGTTGGAGCTTCGAACGAGATGTGATTTGATGCGGCAGTCACATCGTACCGGCTGGAAATGGACGGGACCAGCGCGAGATGGAAACACACCGTGTCCGATATTGATTTTTCACGTCTGTCGTGGAAATACGGGCCTTCGGGGTTGGCATCCTGGACCCACGCTGGCGCCCACGTTCCAATCAATAAGCGACGACATTCCGTCGGAGAAAGAGAGTTCATGTGGTGGTTGGTAGAAGAGAAAACAACAGTTTTCTTTTTGTGTCACATACGAACAAAAAAAGGAAGGACAAACAAGGGAACGGTTTCTCCTCATTTTCTAGGTGGAAATTGAAACGTACTTCTATTTGATCTCTGGAGATGTGTCTGGAGTTTGCACGGTTTTAGGACCGACCCAAGTCTCTCCGCTCTGGAATAGGTCATTCCGTTCGGCCCGTACATCTATTGATCTTTCCGAATGCAACAGTTACTAACCGTTACAAAACTCATTTGCAATTAATTAACATGTTATTATTACCAGAATAATTGAATATTCATTTTCTGATTTCATAACCCGGCGCATTCGCCACTTACAGTCTTCAAAACATGCAACAAAACTTAGAAATATATTAACAAAACTTACTATTTTTTCAAAAACTATACAATTTTCTATAATAAATTAATTTTCCCAAGTTGTAGCTCATCTTCAGCTGTATTTATGAAAGTGCAAGGATTCAAGAACAAAAATTAATAATTAAAATATACACATTTTATTTAAAAAAAACAATGTCTAAAGATAAAATACAATATTAAAAATACAATAAATAAAAGTACATCTACAAGGTTACAAATATAATATACATATACAAATTTTATTTTTCGGAAATTTTTGTTGATTATTTTTTTTGTCGGTGATCGCTACTAAGTATATATTATACAAGTGTTGTTTATTTTTATTGTCTTGTGCGCGATTAACCTACGTCAGTGAGTATTTGTTAGTGAATAAAAGTAATCATGATGATGATTATCATCATGACATTAATAATAATAATATACATTTTATACAGAAAATGTGCGTGGATAGAGAACAATAAATGGTAATAATGACGATTCGGACGCGTCGAAATAAAACTCTCGACTGTCCAAGTCCGTGCTAAGTAACTAAGAAACGAATGTAATACATCTCTCTGAGAAGAAGAGAGAGAGAATTTTCTTTTTCGATTGGTTATATTTTTGTTTGTTTGAAGATTACTAGACGCGATTTAAATCGACGGTGCTGGAAGTGTTCTCGTTGTCGGTATCCTCATCACCCAGAGTGTCTTTAAGTGGAGCGTTTCCTGTTTCCGGCAGGAAGAGCACGCAAGTACCTCCAATGACGCCGCATACGCCGACGATGGCCATAGGCACGCAATCATGGAACATTGCCTGAAACAATGAACATTCAGTTAGTTTGTTTACTTTTTGTGATTTTGTGATATACTGACCATTTCCCAGAGGTATGGAACTATCATTAAAGCCATACCGGCGCTGACATTGCTCGCACCAACTCCGATATTCCTGATGGTAGTTGGGAAGAGTTCAGCTGTGAAAACCGGCATCACAGCGTTCGAGGAGCTGATCAAGAACTTTCCGGTCATCGCTGAAGAAGTGATCAACCATTGGACGTCGCTGAAGATGTATGGAATTGGTACCGTCAACAAGCAAGCAATTCCAGCGAACTTCATCGTCAAAGCTAAGGGCCATTTCCTTCCGCACTTTAACAGAAACAGTATGCTTATGGCTATGGCGGGAACTTCAACTAACCCAGATAAAATCTGAAATTAAATCATATTAATTCACTCTGCTACGAAATTTTAGTTAATAGAAGACTAACCGAATTGACGTATAAATCTCCGCCAATGTTTCCCACGTTCAAAACCAGTCCATAGTAAACTAAGTAGACTGAGAACCAGATGACGAACAGCAACAAAGTGATCTTCCTCATTTTGGGCGTTTTGAAAAGATCCATGATTCCCACGGACTCAGTCTGGATCTTCGTGTTGGCAGGGAGCAACTGCTTGTCCAGGTTCAAAGGTAACTCCCTCTTGTTCATCACCGCAGCTCTCTGCAGGATCGTCATAACTTCCTGGTGCCTTCCCATGGCCAACAACCAACGCGGCGATTCAGGAATGACCCACCTAAATCATCGTGAATAAGACAATTGTAATTGAAGTGTTCATAATTATAAGTACCAGTAGATGCTGAACAGGATTCCTGGTAACGAGATGGCCAATTGCAATTGGCGCCAATCTCTAATTTGGTAAGCTATTCCAGAGATCATGACGTAGCTCAAGCTCACTGGGAACAAGTACGAAATCCCAGCTACAGTCCTCCAGAATCCTCCAACTATTTCAATAGATAATACGAAACCACTGAAAACCACCGAAACAGAGATGAAGCCGAGCATGGCTCTCAAGATGAAGTACATCTCGAACCAAGGCGCGAAAGCAATCGAGACACCTGCAAATCAAAAACCAATTACAAAAAAAACCTCAACAATTAATTTAAAAAAACATACCTAAGAAAGTCTGTATCAAAACTGAAGCGATCAACGTCTTCTTACGTCCGTATTTATCGGAAATAACACCACTAGCCAATCCACCGATAGCAACTCCTCCCAAAAACATCATTTCAGCCAAATTGTTCAATTGTTTCCTGTCGCACAGCAAACTGAATTCCGAAATAATCGTGTCACCTGTGAACAAAGGAATACCAAGAATCTTGTTAATATTTTGCAACAATTATTTGGAAGTAAGGAATTCGTGTAGCTGTAATTTAAACGCGGGAATTTTCCGCTTCAATTAATGTAATTGCAGCAGATCTGAAACGCGTTATTGCTCCATATGTTCACGCGTATTTTAATGCAGCGATTACGCAAGGATCATCCGGATTTATCTCAACTGCAATACATAATAGAAGACCGTAAAGAAGCAGAATCCATTTAAAATTAATCAGTTATTGATTAATTATTTAATCTTATTTATTGTAATCAGTTCATAACAAAAAAAAATGATTGAAAGTACTTTTCCTACACTGTCGTGACAATGCATTTAAAAATTATTTTTATGTTGACTCATGAAATAAATACAATCTATTTTATTTTAATATCCAGTAAATTTAATAATTATTTATAACATTGTTTCTATTTTTATATTTGTAAAGTAATTTTAGAATATAAATTACAATTATGAAATAAGAAACGTTTCAGAAACTTATTTATTTATAAATCTAGTATGTTTTTCTATCTACATATTACGAATATTATAAAGGCATGTCCAATTTGTCCAATTAAAGTTTGCTGAGTTTCTGTAAAGTTTTGTAAATATTTAGATAACTAATTTCAATATTTTATTCGCTTAAATTTACTTTTCTGAACTTATTTGTGATTGATAATTTAAAGTTAATTTTTATTTTATTTCCAATATAATTAAGATATATTTTCAGGTATTAATTGATATTGTTTATTGAAGTCGCACATTTCGTGCATTAAATCCATTACAGAAAACTTAAACAATGCACCTGAATTTCATATAATGTTATGTAAATAAGACTTTAAGAGAATTTGCAGACAAAGATTCTCGCAAAAACAATACCAGCAATAAATTATAATTCCCATATAGAAGCTACGAGTTTATTATTATTTTGCATAACTCGAATAACCGCACATGTTGTTGTTGCTCACGATTTAGCAGAGACACATGAAATTCCACCGCAATAGATGAATTCGAATTGAAATAATTGCAAACTTTTATCATCGCCACGCATGTACATCTTTTTTTTGGTGCGCGATTCGGTTTCGGATTTCTCCGAACAACAAACAAAATAGATTAATCTAAAAAAATAAGTTACGCAATCCAGAAACAGACAACAAGTGTGTATGAACAATTTATACCAAAAAAAAAAAACAACGCAATTTCCGCAATTTCATTTTGCGTAGATTTTTACATATCGGTTCGAGATTGGGAAGGTGAAAACAAAACACGAGTAGTCGGATAGATAAGGATAGATAACAGATATGATGCTGTGTCTGTATATATATGTTGTTTATGTGTGTGTGTTTCTATATGTGTGTGCGGGATGAAGGCTAGTAGTGAAAATTGGCCGGATGATGATTGGCGGTAAAGTACTAAGGACTTTTCGCCTTTCGTAAATTAGACGGAAGCCTCAGCTCTCTCATTACGGTATAATTTTCGAATTGAACCGAGTGCCTTCATGCATGATGATTGATTGATGTCACTTGTCCCGGTCGCAACTGAGATTGAAGAAGCGCAAGATATGTTCGAGGATCCAACTTTTTAACAAAGGACACACGAAGAAGTGGAGTAAATATGACTGTTTGAAACTGGACTAATCAAAGACTTTTAACATTTTAAAAACAGTACGAAAGAGAGGAAAAAAACGAAACAAATATTTTGTGTACTAATTTAAGAAGTTAAAATATGTGGAGTAGGAAGATATTTGAAGATACTTTAGGTTTTCTTAAATAGGACTGTTTGAAATCGAAGACTTTTAAAAACTGCACAAAGTTTTACTTGACTGCTCAGAAGGAAAAACGAAAAAAATAACTTCGTGTATCAATTTTTGCTTTTCTGAATTAAAATTTAGTTTGTAAATGATCAAAGCCTGTTGCCATTAATGTTAATATTATTAGAAGAAAAGTAATTTAAAATTTAAAGAAATGTTGAGAGTTTTATAGTTTAATAAATAATTATAGAATTTTTATCAACATTGTAATTAACTGAAAAGTAAAGTTTCTTTCTGCAAGTTTCTGAAAAGTCTTACAAGCTTTTTATGTGTGTATGAACTAACATTTACTTCTTTCAGAAACATTGGTTATGTATGTTATCTAAGATTGTTAAAAGAGTTTTATGATAGAAGTTTGTCTTCTAAGATGTAAATATATAAATTTGATCATGTTTTGTACATACCATCTCCACCGAACTCCCAATTGGTACAAGGAACTTCCACAGCTCCAGGCAGTATCGAGATCCCGCTCGAAGAAACATTAATATAACTGGTATCAATTATGGAACAATATCCAGTAGGTTGCGTGTAATTCCTCCACAGCTCTGCATCAACATCAGCAAACTGCGACGGTCTCGCGCACCACGTATCCATATCTCTTGCATGGAATGTCGGCGAGAAGATGTGCCAAGTGCATGGTATATTCAGCAAGGACAAGAGGAAGGTCAGCATCAGCTGCCATCTCCCGTATTCACCTATCGACGTCGAGATGATATCTTCCTCCTCTTCATTCTTCCTCTCCTGCGGCATAGCTGGAATTAACAGAACACCGATTAAAATTAATACAAGAAGCGACACCAAAATCATAGCACATACACTCCAGAAACGGAGTTTCAGCATCTCCGAGATCCGTCATCTCTTCTTCGTTCATTTTACTTGTTTCGGAGGTTTACTTTGCACGCGAATTTTTTTTTGGAAACGCGTTTTCGCATCGTACAGCGTTCACTGTCGCAAGACCTCCGACGAAAATCAACTTATCTTATCAACTTTTAATCAATCCATTAATCAATGTTTTTACAACAGAAAAAAAAATATAGTAATAACTGATTCCCGCGCAAAAAAAAGTTACATGATTTTCAAGAACAGTCGCTATTTCGCTTTCAAGATTAGTATCAATAGATTTTTTTTTCTCTTTCATTGATAATTTTTACATATTTGTTTATTTTTATATAATAAAAAACAAAATATGAAATTCATTCTTTGAAATAATATCAAATTTATACACTTTGTTAGAAATTAAGCCAATTATTAGAAAATGATCAAATATTATTGATTGATAATTGCGTAATAGCAACGATATGCAACCTAAGTTTCATATAATTCAGACTTCATAAAAGTTTTATGTAAATTTGCACAAATTTAATTACATAATTTTTTTTATCTATTTTTATCTATTTATGTGATAAGCTTATGAATTATTAGATATAATTAAATAGGAAAAAATGTTCATTAATAAACTACAAAAAATAATATATTGATAGTAGAAAAACTTTGTTGTAAACTCAATTATTTGAAAGGTAATTGTTTACATAATATGCATATTTTCATTAATTAATTGTTAATAACAGATGATGACGATGATGTAACATTATCTGCGGAAAACATAAGCAATCATACATAAATTAATTATGGCAAATCAAAATGTTTCATATTGTTATTAAAAGATAATAATAGTTTAGTTTGCTTGATACAAATTGATAATTGCATACGGAGATGTAATTGAATTCCTTTCACTCAAACTCAATTGTTTGCAATAAGATAATTCTTTGCTTAAGTATAATTATTGTAGATGATTGACTCTGATTGTTTAGTTTTTTTTTATTTTTAAATACTAATAGAGTGAAACCTCGCTTAATCCGTTACAAAATTTCCTTATTTTTACTCGTATACTGAAACATATACAAAAATACACATAATATTTGTATCAAATAAGATTAATAGTTAAATTACAATAGTTAAGCAACTTTTGACAAATATTGTTGATATTTGACAACTTACAATATTTTTACTTGATTTTTTATTCAATTTTTATTTAAATAAGAAGTAAGTAAGTTATAAATTCGTAATTTAATTGAGTATTTCTTTTTAGTTAATTTAGTTAATCTATTACATAACAAGAGTGGACAATGGCGGCTATAATCACCTAAATTTTGCTCGTTAAGCGAGGATCCACTGTATAATCCACTGTATGAAAGTTTAATTTGAAATGTTTGGTTTAGATAAATTATTGTATCAAATAAGATTGGTAAGTAAATTAAAATAGTTAAGCAACTTTTGACAAGAATTGGTGATATTTGACAATATTTCTAATAAATTTGTTAAATTACAATGTTTTAGCAACAAATGCGAATTTATCGTTTATTAGAAGAAAATCTACTAAGAAATTTCTATAAATTATTTAAGTGAATTTGAAAACTTTATATGGAAATATTTAGAATTTAAATGTATTCGAAAAATATTTTTTTATACAATTTTCTCTTTAATTCTTAAATTTGAAATTTGTAGATTTTGAAACGTGATTTAAGTAAAATTAATTTAATTAAAAAAAAATTACCAAGAAATTATTAATTTATTTACAAATTTAATGATGTTTTTCTTTCTTCATAAATAAAGATTTTCATGTATTTATGAACAATATTTAAAAAAAAAATTAATTGTTAAATTATGTATGGATACTTTAAATTGCAATTAATTCCTTACACATTGCTAATCAATTCCATTAATTGTTTAAACGTGAATGTAAAAAAAACTTAGCATTATTTGATTATTCATATATTGAAATTAAAATTTACAAACTCATATATAGTGCGAGTAATCGGTTTCGTCAATATTCCGGATTAATCGAGGACTTTAAATTTTACAAAAAGAGACTTGCCTGTATAAAAGGACAAACATTAAATTAAAATTTAATTTGTTTCAAAAATTTAAAACCGGACTAATCGAAACCGCATTATAAGAGGTTTCCTTACATTTTCTTCATAAAACATCATACACTAATCAAATATTTATTAACCATTGATAGAATAAAAACACAGACAAATTGCTCTAACAGTCACTGTTTTGTAACCGGACTGCTCGAAGCAGCATAATATGAGGTATTGCTTTCTTACATTTTCTTCATAAATCATCATTCAGTAATCAAATATTTCAATTGATACAATAAAAAACACAAAGAAATTGCACTATAAAATGTTTTGTAATAGACTTTAATTTAAATTAATTGTTAAATTACATTTGTATAAATTGTTATTGCAAATTAATCACTTACACATTACTAATCAATTCCACACTGTCTGATTGATTTCCATTGACTAACCGAGGGTCGCCTAGATAGAGCACATATTTCTTTTTCTCACAAACTCGAGATTAATCTCATGGGGACGAGCGTTTCGACACAATAATCATCATTTTTCAATCTGATTTTAAAACCATTGCGTTTTGTTTATTATTATGATTTCTCTCTCTCACTATTTTTTTTATGTCTCTATCATTTATTTGCTCACGCACTTCATGCTAAACATAGTCGCAGTATATACGCATCGCACACAGCGAGCTCCGATTCGAATTGCATAAGTCGTGTATTATGTTTGTATTGAAAATTGCAATCATTGTCTTTCGACAGGAACATAAAATAAATAAATAAACAATGTTACGAAATCGGAAATTCACCTTGATTCAACAAATAAATATTGATATTTCCTTGTGTATTATATAAAGACTTGTATCTAAACAGTTCAGTTACTTTTGATCACTTAAATTTGTCCATTTAGGTTTGTTTACTAAACTTTTTTCAAACTTTTACTTGATTTTTTATTCAATTTTCATTTGATTAAAAAGTAAGTTTTAAATTATTAATTTGATTAAGGATTTCTTTTTAGTTAATTTACTTAATCTGTTATATAACATGAGTGGACTATTGCGGCTGTAATCACCTAAATTTGTACATTCGGTTTGTTTCCTAAACTTATATAAATATTTACTTAATTTTTAGTAAATTTTTATTTGAATAACAAATAAGAAACTATATATTCATAATTTAAATTCATTTTATTTATTTTTAGTTAATCTATTATCTAAAGATTTAAGTATGAAGTTACATAACAAGAGTGGACAATTGTGGCTCTTCGTTGAGATAAGTGCGGCTCTTTTTGAAAATTTAAATCACCTAATTTTGTCCATTAGGTTTGTTTCATTAACTTATATAAATATTTACTTGATTTTTAGTAAATTTTCATTTGAATAACAAATAAGAAACTATACATTCTTAATTTAGTTTGATTTGATTTATTTTTAGTTAATTTGTTATATAAAGATTTTAGTATGATATTACATAATAGAAGTGAACAATTTCGGCTCTTCGTTGAGTAACAATGTACTATGTAACAATGGTTTGGCTCTTTATAACAAATGAAAAATCAGAATGCGGCTCTCATCGACTACATGCGTGCCTACCCCTGTTATATAATGTGTATAAATAATACTTTCGTTTGACTTTTAACATACATAAAATGTTAAAGCAATACTTGAAATTAACTTTATTAACTTTTACTTCAATTTTTTATATAATTTTCATTTGAAAAAGTTATAAATTCTTAATTTAATTGATGATTTCTTTTTAGTTAATTAATTAATGAAAAATCTACTTACAAAATTTATTTTTTAGTGATTTTTTATGTATAAAAATGTATAATTTCTACATAATTAATAAAATTAAGTTTTTTTTTAAATAAAAATTTAATCTGTTTCATTTTATTGATTCGAAAAGTATTATAAAATTCTAAGCTTTTATAATAAGAAAAAAAATAAATTTATCATTCAATCAACAAAATTAGAAGTCGAATTGAGTTCAAATTTCTATTTAAAGAATGATTTTATCATGATGAACAGATGGAACAGAAACTTTGGATTAAAGATATTTTATCATAATTGTAATAAAAGTTTTGAGGTATTAAAACAAAACAAAAAATATTCACATTGTTGGTGATAAGATTGTGGAATGAATAGATTCAGGTGAGTAAAACTAGTATGACTATTGTGTTAACAATTAGGAAGAACATGCAAACTAAGAGAATTTTTGTAGCAATGAACGTTGGCGGGGGGATTCGCTGAGGTCAGGATCTGGACCGAAAAGAAACGCGACCTTATTTATTGTCCTCAATGCTAATCTCGCAACGAGTGGTAATCATAACATAAGTCTTCATTAAGTTATGAGAGAGTGAGAGATAGAGAGAGGCCAAACAACAAAGAAGCGAAAACAAGAAGAAAAACTAATTAAATAACGAAGGTGTTGGCAATGGAAATTTAATAACACGACAATTCTGTTCATTGAACTTCGATTAAGAACACATTTTTTTTTACATTCTCTCTCTCTTTCTGTATAGTTGCACGGTAATTATTGCGCAACGAGGATATTGCAAATGTCGTATCATTAATCTGTCGTATAATTAGTGGATAAACACGTACGTACTGTAGACAAAATCCATTTTCCATTACAACAATCCACTTGATACTCATCGACACTTAAGCTTCTTCTCTAGGTTAAAGCTATTAACAGTAGATGATCCAAAATTGAAAGCCGAATCTGAAATGATGCGAATTTTCTTCATCCGAATCGTGTGTGAAACGTCTGTCAACAAATTTTATTCGTGCGACAGAAAGAGTTCGTCGGGTTATCTGACTTGAACCTTATTTATCCATCCATTAACGTAATTATTCAACGGCAATAACAAATAAAAAAGAAGAAATATGTATA